GATTTTAAAAAATCACATCAAACTATGTTATGAAATTTACTTATCTATATGTATCCATATATATCCATCCATATATTTGTGGTGTGTGTGTGTGTGCGCACACAGGATGTCTATAAAGTCATTCTGCAGATTATAATTTTAAGATGAAAAAAAACTCCAAATAAATTTTTAATGATTTTTATTTTATAAACATTTCCTAATAATTAATCAAAATGAAAGAAAAAGTCCATTGTTCTCTAACAAGTATAACTGAAGCTTGTCTGAAAATGAAGCCTTCATTTTAAAATTTGTTTTCATTTACATTTTGAGAGGAGGAGTTATAAGAACTCAGCTGCCTTTACAGTGGTGGTGTTTTATATATATATATGTGTGGGCATGTGAGCATACACATACAATTTTACCTTGTTAACTTTGTGCCTTTTTTATCCAGAAAAAGAAAGCTAAAATTTAGTGCTGCTGTTCTTTTATTGTTTATTGTATATTTAATTATATGTCAAATGTTATGAAAAGCATAACAGAATTGATTATATTTTTGGCATCCTTTAATCGAATGTTTCTTAAATTTCTATATATACATAAATTCCTTATGATTATGAAATGTATTTTGATTTGAAATGTATATCTTTTTTCAATAAATCTAATGTTAATTCTAAACTTTGAAGTGCATGTTTTATTATTTATCTTTGTTAGAAAAATATTTTTTATGTGAGATTTATAATTTTTTCTCCAGAATATTTCAGTATTTAATGGTTTAAGTGTAGTACATTTTGAAATTCATATTAATATAGATGCATTTGAATTAATTTGATTAAAATAATTTTAAAATAAGATTGTTTGAAATTTAAAATTATTAAATTATTTGCCTAATTGTCTTAGATGACTAATTTCCTTAATTCCCTTTTGAAAGCATAACTTTTTTCTAAAAAGAGGTGAAATAGCTTAAAACTGGTTCATTTGCAATTTCAGCTGGTCATTTTTATCAAAACACTGTAAAACTTAGTTGTGTTTCTTAAATAATATTCACTATTTCCTATTCAGTATATATTTGGGTTCCTATGGTTACCAATCTAGTCTAGCCAATGTTTGATCTTCACAGAATGTCTTATTATTAGGACTAATCTTATTTAACATCTCTGAAAACAGTTTTATTTGAATGGACAAAAATATCTATAGAGACTTTTAGGGAGATAGGTTCTTAATTTTACCAAAGTCTGTTTCTTTTGTATTTGGTAAAGTACAATATTGGGTAGAATGTCAATGATTTTTTTTTTCTGAAAACCAGCAGCAAATTACGAATTTAATTGAATTTTGGTCAGCATGCCACAATGATCACAACTTCCACAGCATTTTTTTGCTGGAGTCCATCTTTGGATGCAAAGAAACAAAGGCAAAAGTAATTGCTTGTTACAATTAAAAATAATCAACTTTATTCCAACTTGAATATAAAAGTGTAAAACAGTTTTGTCAGCAAAATATTGTCTCTGCTTTTGTCAGACACCAGAATTTCAGTTTACATCTGAAATGCACAGCTTGTCAAGCAGTTGCAGAATCAAATTCTTCAAAGAATCCACAGAAACCAATGGAAGAAAGGCTGTACTTCACAGTACCCATTTTGTACATATTCTATTATGTGATTCTATTATGGATACATTTAAAGTTCAGTTTAATAAAAAGTAAGTTAGGAGAGGAAGATGCTGTTATACCAGTTCCTGAAATTGGGAGGCCTACATGTCATGAAAATCAGTATTTTAAATACTGGCTTTCACCTAAGCTTTTACCTATGCTTGAAAACCCGCCTATACAGCCACCAGAAAAAAAATTATGGTGGATATCTTGAAGAGTTTTGAGATGTTTAATATTTTTCTTGTCTTGTACCCTGTTGGAACTCCAATTCTTTAACACAAACAGTAAAGGATTTTTTATTTGATAAAAAAAACCTACGAAAAAATAGTCCAAACAAACACTTAAGGTAACATTTAATTTATAAGGGCACCCAACAAAGGCAGACAACACAAGCCAAATTTAAAAACAGACAATAAATTTATTGTTAACACCTAAAAATGAAAGAATTACACAAATTAAGTGCTTTGGGTGGCAAAAGATGGCCAATAACATGTATGTAAAAATAATGCAAGTGAAATATTCCTTTTCTACAATAAATATTACAATGTTGCATAAGGTCCTCAGAAAAGGTAAACAATACTAGCTGAAAAATTTTTGTCTACTCGAATTCAATTCCTGGCCCTCTATTTATTCATCCAGATAGGATTCACTTCTCAGAATTTGGAGGGAAATCATTTGATTGGTTCTGAATGAAAAACAAATGCAGCTCTCAAATCGAAATGTACAAAAATATTTTTGAAATTCAAAGGTTTAAGCAAGAGCCTGTAGTGGACTCCCTGGAGTGGGGGGTATGATATGAAATGGCCCGAGTGCCCCAAATCAGTATGAGTTCACAAGAGGACCACTAACATTTTTAAATTAAAGACATGAAATCTGAAAGGTGAAACAAAATGGACAACAGAAGAAGGATATTTAAGATTACTACAAAATTTATTTACAATGCAGACCTGAATGGCCGTGGGTTAGATGGTCTGGTAATTGAAGGGTGGTTGGACTGGACATGTCAATGACAGGAAGCTGAGGTGTGGTTGTCCTGGTCGTGTTGATGGTATTTTTTTCATGGTTTTGACATTGGTTGCTATTTTTGATGGGAAAAGCTCCTCCTTAAAAGTTAGTGACAATCAACACTACAGGGGAGAAGTCCTACAAATCATAAAACTGTTATCAAAATTCTCTCTTCTAGCTTGTGCTTTCTTTATAAAACCTTTTATCATTTTGATTGAACTGTCTACTTACCATCAGATCTTGGGTTATATTGTTTTGAGGGTGGCATATTAAAACCATAGTTTCTTAGGTTTGTTGTATGCTTCTATTTTCAGCACAGTTACTGTGGAATATCAATTCTCCTCCAAAAAATTAGCTATTAAAAGCAGGATTATTATATCAAAAGCAAAAAGGTATACTAGAAAATGCAAATATATTAGTTGGTGTCCTGATTGAATAATCCTCCCATGAAGGTTGCATTTGACCTATATAATTAGTGTGTTTTTGGTCTCCACAAAGAGAGTGAAGCCAATCATTTATATAGAAAAGTGAAATTAGGTTTTATAATTCCAAGTTTGATCTCCTTGGTTCCAGATTGGATTTAGCCATTTGGTCAGATGCTACATGTACTGTATATTAAATAAATAATGAATGTGAATAAAATTTTTTGATCAAATGTTGGTTAAATTAAAAGAAAGCCAGACTACAGAACTTATATCTGTAGAATGGATTGATTGAAATAAAAACAAATAGTAAATGTGAATGTTTAGATAAAATGTTGAACAAAAAGATTGCACTGCAAGACCTTGACATGCAACATACATAAACTAAGATTTCAACTAATGATAAAAAAGCATAATTTCATTAAAACTTGATTGTAGCTTTCAGATTCTTTGTTCCATTTTTGGTTTGTTTGATGCAAATATTTTAGATGAAATCACAGTGAATTTGTGGATGACTTTACTATGTCTTCTGTATACACATAGAAGTAAAAGTCTGATTGAAATTCATTAAGCTTTGCTAGTGGTGAACTGAAGCTAAATTGCCTAAATAAGAGATAAGGATACTTACTACCAAATTAACATGAATTTTGCTGCATAAAGACTTTTTCATAGTTGACTTTTGGAGATGCTCGTTCAATTTGAAGTGCAAGAAATTGCAGCAGTGAAGTTATTTACTAAGCTTGGTATAGTTTCACTACAAGAAAACTCAGCGCAAATTGAATACATTATTCCATGATAAAAAGAGCAATCCTGGTAGGAGTGAAGTACCATGGTGCATATATACATAAATACTTGTTACTCAATAATAAAAATGTAATAAATAGACTTTAGAAAATAAACTTAGATACCAGATATATAGAAATTTGTCAATAGCTACTATGCAGAGTCTCACATGACATAGCCTTGTACTAAACTTGTCTGAAATGTGTAAAGTTAAAAACTAAGATATAGCTTTAAAAACAAACAAAATTTGCATAGAATTTTTTTAAAAATTGTAGTAAACAAAAATAAAACTACCTTTATGTTTCAGAAAGTAATCAATAATTTTATTAACAAAAATAAAATGAATATTTTTCTTCAACTTTGCAAATGGAAAGATAATTTTACAGGTACAACAAAACCTGGCCAGACTTGTACATACATAGATAGATTAAGATATATATATATATAGAGAGAGAGATGCTCTCCTGTGCATCTTATGTGTTAATGAATGAATAGGTGATGTTTATGTCAGATATGAACATTATTTGGCAATAATGACATATTGTGGTGTGGTGTTATGCATGCGATCACACATTACATTTCTCAGAGACATGTGTATCGGTAATGTAAATAATATCGTACAAATATTGTAAACAATTCACGCAATAACATTTCAAGTAAAAAAAATAATCTAAGACTAAGAGTGTCGACCAACAGGAAAGAAAAGACCTCCCTCTTCTTTTTATAGTCGCGTACACAGTGTGAAATGAAATGTTTCTTATAGCTCTTAGTAGCTTTCATACTTAATTTTGGGTTACCCTTTACCCTCTATTAATGTCACTACAAGGAAAGCGATTCTATTAGAGGGCAGAAAGAGGAGAGGAAGAACACGCACTTGTGTATATACATTAAAAAAAAAGAAAAACACTGTACTTTTTGGCTTTGAAGGATAACGAAGAAAAGAACAATTACTGGAAGCCTGGATTATTTAGCAGATTGTATGAAATGTCAACTCTTTAGACTAAGAGACTAAAAAAGTGAAGCTATTTAAAGACGGAAAAACACTGATTGAAATGGATTTACAGGTTTTGTGTTTACATGGAGCAAAAATGGCTGGTTGCAGCTGTTTACTGTCGATACTTGTCAGGAAATAATTGTGAAAAAAGGAAAGAGGAAAAAGTGTCTTCAATGATTTCAGACTTCTTTAAAGTAAGTATTTAATTTAATTTAATCTCTTATCTAATTCTCTAGAATTTAAAGTTTTATATGATATGTAACAAAAAAACAAACAAAGCAAGGTTCGGAAATTTCTTCTTAAAAAAAGAAGACCTTTACTTCGTAGAAACCTGCATATAATGTATGCAAACTGTACAATTCAACAAACTGAATAGTTAAATTCAGGTTTATTATTTTAAAATCAAATCTGATTTTTATTCGACACTATGTTTTCCCTACTGTTTGAATTATTTTACTTGTAATGTAGTGTAAATAGTGGATTACGATATATATTTTTTTAGATTTTAGTAATTAGTATTGTCTTTGTACTTGTTAATTTGACATAACCTGCTGAATTCTTGATATTTGTAGAAAACTAAAACACAAAAAAATGTAAATTATCTTTCTATTTCACTTAAAAAAGTGTTTTCCTGTGTAATGGACAAGAAAGTAAACTTGCTGTAGTTGAATTTATTACGTAACAAAATATTTTCTTATTCTATTCGAAAGAAATCCTGTTTTGAATGATTTTTTTCCTTTTTTGAATTATTTCCTGAAAATCTACATTTCAAATTATTCAACTTTTTTTACGTCGTCACATTCAAGTTGTGAACTGTCTTTATTTATTTTTATCTGATCATAAAAGGTTTGACAGTTTGAGTTACATTTAGATTTTAGAGATGGTGATAGAAAGTAGAAACTCTAAATTTCTAGAAGGTGCGTATTGTTTATGAATGGCAGTAAAAGATTGTTAAAAATAAAATAAATAAATCTCAAAGTCATTGACATCAAACACAACGTAATACGTGTTTTTTTACTTTATGTAAAATAAAAATTTAGTTTTAAAAATTTGAGTTTTTATTAGAACGGAGTTTAAAACACTTTGCGATTACGGAAAAAATAATTTAAAAATTAAAATCATTCAAATAATTTTTACTGATAAATTATTTTTTAAGAGTTCAGTTTGGTTGGTGATCAGTGTTTTTCTGTTTTACCACAAATCGATTTTAGGAAAAAATAACTTTCATTTTCAATTGAAATAAATCATGAAAATGAAAAGAAAATCCTTCTTTTTTTTAAACTTTAATTTCCAGTTTCCACTTTACTTTTTCTAAATAAAAAAAAAAAAAAAAAAAAAAAATTATTGATTACATTCGTAAAAATTCATCATTTCATTTTTTTTCTCTCCAAAATAATTCTTTTTTGTTGTTCTTCCATATTCCTCTTGGACGTAAAGTACTCGATGATTGAATTGAGATTTAAAGGGTGAATTAATTGAAAGAAAGAAATATTTTTCGTTGTTTCAAAATACTTGCAAAAATGTAAATAAACGAAATATCAAGCCGCAAGCGTAAATATTGAATTTTTGAACCTACAGAAAGGATTTTTTTGAGATTACCATTTGGGATCGAAACTTCCTCGTTGGTATTGCTTATTGTTCGTATGTAACCAGCGAAAAAGACATAAAAGTTTGATGAAAATTTTGTTTTGTTGGTTCGAAGAATTAAATCAATCATTTACTTTTTTTTCACAATATCGTACGAGTGATTTTGATAAATATCACTTTTTAAAATTTTTTTAGAAATATTTTAGGTTTATCATTGAATTTTAAAATATATATACAGACATAATTTGAAAATGAAATTGAAATGGTCATCTGTGTGGCTAATTTCCTTTTTTATCTGGCAACAACCCCTGGCTAACAGGAAAAAGAGTAAAAAACTGGGCCTTTGAAGACATTTTTATTACCCCTCCTGTATTTAGCAATAAATGAACAAACAATTTTTACACTTGAAATCTTGCCGTTATCGAAGCGATAGGTACCAAAATAGAAATGGGAAAAGTAAAGGAGATATAGATGCAGACAGAGAACGCGTTCAGTGAATAGACAAAAATAGAAAAATAGTACGCCAAGAAAAGTTTGTTTTCTCAGTAGATTTCATGTACACAGTACACTACACAGCAAGAATATGATTCTAAATTTGAGAGGACTAGAAATTGAATACAAGTATATTCGGCGGACGTAACCTTATACGCTAAAAACAATAGGTACATACAGAGGAAAGCTGAAAGAAATAGACGAAAGAAAAAAGTAAAGAAAGACTAACAAAAAACTGTAATAAAACAGAATGAACGGTTGTCGGCATAAGAAACAACTTTAAGTGTGAGTTCCGTATCCTGACCGTAAAAATCAAGCAAGTGCGGAAAAGTGTGACGTAGAAAATAATTTAAAAAGTGCATCGAGAAAGCGAAGTATGCTTTTTCAGAAATCTGAATAAACAAAGAAAAGAGTACTAGATTACTATGTTTATGGCAGTGAATGATGGATAATTTGTCACAAATAAAGAATACTTGAAGGGACAGATGTGGGTGTACTGAGAAATGTTGAAAATACTATGGACAGAGCATGTGACAAACGAGGAAGTTCTATGTGGAATAGGAAATACAAAAAAAAAACTGCTGCTAAGAATGAAAAAAAAAAGATGGCTGAAATTTCAGGATCATAATGAGGAAAGAAGGCTTGGGGAATTTCACACATGCACGGCATGCTGCAGAGAGAAGAGAAGCAATAGAAAACTACGTGCAAACTACTTGAGAAGTCCGAGTACCACTAAAACAAAAAGGGGTCATTAAAAAGCAGGAATTACTTCGAACAAGAAAAAGACAGGAAGTTGTGGAGAGTCATAATTGTCACAAATTGTCTAAGAAGTCACAGAGATGGGAAAGGCAGAGGGTAAGCTAAAAAAATAATAAAATCTGGTGAACGTAAAAAGTAGAAGGGATGGAAACGAAAGCTACATTAAAGTTTTACTTTTATTTATTTTTCTTTTTTGTTTGTGGAACACACTTTACCTTAGGATTAGGAAGGTCAGCAGTACGGCACATGAAGTGATAAAATAAAATCGTAGTGTTTTCAATCATAGAAGTTAGAAGTACAATTATTTTTCGTTAGTGTGTAGTGTACTGACACTGTCACACAGTTTTATTATCTTCACTTGAGTGTCTAGGTTTTAAAATTAAAACGAATTTTAGTCGATTTTTTTTGTGTGTGTTTGTCACGTTACTTAGGCTTTTGTTGAACGTTAGTATTCGTTTCTTTTTTTAAAAAATAATTTCCTTTTAGTTTTAAATTTTAATTAGATGAGTGTTTTTTGTTTTATTTTTTGCTTCTTTTTAATTAATTGGTACACGGGATTCTTCTTGGTCAAGTGATAAATTAAAAATACAAAACAAAAGAAAAAACTTTGACACTTAGACTGGACTGGAGAGATCTGTGCCCCAGAGAGGACCTGTTCATTGTTCCAAAGGGAAAAATTATGAGGGAGAAGGGTGGGGAAGAAAAAAAAAGGAAAAAAAAAGGTAATCACGGCTGTCTTATTTAACAGTTGTTAGTTTGCAATGAAATATCGGAAGTCTCCTAGTTCTTAACGACTTAACCGTTACCTGATAGTAAACAAGTGGTGGCAATAATTGGGAAATAAATTTAGTTTATCTTGCCTTGAATTTTACTTCAAAGGGTCCACCTATTTTATTTCACCTTTTGGATTAAAAAAAAAAGATATTTCTTCTGATAAAGAAAATAAAAAATAAAATGTGATTTGTTGGAAAGTTTGAAACTTTTTGTGCTTGATGCAGATTTTTTTTAACTCGTTTCAAACACGTGTGTTGTTTGAAATGAGTTACAAGAAATTATCTCATTATGTAACATAATTCTATCTCCCCCCCAGCTATGGGTTAAACTGCAGGCGAACTGGGTTGTTTAGCCTTGGTTGGCAACCAGTCTACCACAGAAAGAAATGGCAACCTACTACAGGAAAATCTTCTGACTATTGAAAGATACATGATCACCTAAGCATGTACTACATGCGGCACTTAACTGAGTAACTGAATGAAAGGTGAAATGAAAATGCCTCAAATATGCAAGTATTCTGAACTTCATTTTCATTCCTGAGTTTAGTTAATAATTTTTTAATTAAAGGAATGGAAATTAATATTTCCCCCAATCCAATATCACTAAGAGTTTAAGATAGAAGAAAAAAAGAATTATGTTTATTGGTAATTTTGCAGTATGGGTTTCAGTCAGCCTGATTCAATAACTACCATCATTCACAGAATACTGATTCTGTGAGTGATGGTAGTTAGGACGTCTTTACAAACACACCTCAAGGACCATAGCACTAGATATCTCAAACAAGCTCAACAAGCTTCCAAATGGAATTGCTAGAAGGGTCTTCTCTATCATAAAATCCTTCCTGACATGAAGGTAGCTATCCTCTGGAGCCCTCTAGAGATCAATGCAGGCACCCCAGGGGTCACTTCTCAGACCAACCCTTTCTTTGATCTTCATACATGATCTGCCTAAGAATATACTCAGATCATTTGTAAACACTGCTGATGATACAACTGCTTTGAAACTCTCGATGTCATGTCTAATGGATGTCAGTGATCAGTTATCCTGTTAATTTTCCTCTCCAAGTTCTTCACTGTCTTAACCAAGTATTGAACTCACACTCTTTGGGTCCTGTCACTGGATCTAACTAACACCTTTATCTACTGTGCCATATATGAATTTCTGGGTTACCAGTGCTCATATTGCAATTTTTGCTATTATCATTGCATGTTTTTTACCAGATCTTGTATTGCAATTTTTGTTGTTGTTATCTCTTTCATCTGGCACTCCTTATTACTGGTTCCTATATTGTATTCATTTCTATGCTTGGTCGGCTCAGGAGATTTGTGGCCTAGCATATGTGCTTATTCCTTAAGTTTATGAATTTTCCAATGATGTTCTTTGTTTATGATTTCAACCTGATCCCACAGAGTGCGGTGATCTCCCTTTTCTCTCTATATGTGATCAGCCACGCCTGATTTTTCCACTTCCCCTTGTGTTACAGCTTTCTGAAGCCTTACCTTAATGGGTGGCCTGTCTCCCCTTTATATTTCTTTCCACAGCTGCACAGGATGGCATACACACTGTCTTTAGTCATGTTCTC